TGCAGAAACTCAAGAAAGAGGAGGAAGAGGAGGAACCATCATGGAAGGACAGGCCCCTGCACGGTATGTACCACCAGCAGATAGAGGAAGTGGCTGACATCCAGAAATCCTACCAGTGGCTGAACAAAGCTGGACTGAAAGCCAGCACAGAGGCACTAATCATGGCAGCACAAGAACAAGCTCTGAGTACAAGATCCATTGAGGCTGGGGTCTATCACACCAGGCAAGACCCCAGGTGCAGGCTGTGTAAAGATGCCCCAGACACAATCCAGCACATAACAGCAGGGTGCAAGATGCTAGCAGGCAAGGCATACATGGAACGCCATAACCAAGTGGCCGGCATAGTGTACAGGAACATCTGTGCCGAGTATGGCCTGGAAGTCCCGAGGTCAAAATGGGAGACGTCCCCAAGGGTGGTGGAGAATGACCGAGCTAAGATCCTGTGGGACTTCCAGATACAGACGGACAAAATGGTGGTGGCTAACCAACCGGACATAGTGGTGGACAAGCAGAAGAACGTGGCTGTAGTGATAGATGTAGCGGTTCCCAATGACAGCAACATCAGGAAGAAGGAACACGAGAAGCTTGAGAAATACAAAGGTAAAGTAAAGAAAAGACTTAGCTAGCTGACCAGCATATACTGAAAATAGGATTTATGTAATACTGAGCAGGTCATTTCTCTGAGTGTACTTCAAAACCAGCTCACCATAAAAAATCGGTTTCCTGCAGTCCAGAATTGTTGCCCACAGTTTTGTTTTGTTTTTCCAAAAATAACCTCTGACAAGAGGTCTGCTCTGTTTCACTTCAGCATCAGGTAATGTTCAGATGTTGATTCATGGTTTTCTTCAGTTTTTGATCTCCTGCAGAATATTTTTAGGTTATCTGCTATAAAAAGCCAGGCCAGGAAAATCCTTCATGTTTTTCTGTGTTTTATCCTCAGTTACTTTGACACAAAGGCATCTGCTGTGACGCTCACACCTCTGATGAAGTCTCACAGTGTCAGCCTTGTTTTTATACATAGATATACAAATATGGATATGTACTGTAAATGATCAGAATTATAACATTTTTGACTGTCTGAGTAAAATTGAATTGACTTGAATCAGGACCCTGTGAATCAGAATCATATCAGTTAGTGAATACCAATCCCTTATATACATGAACACATATACATGACTACAAACTTATTTAATGGAAAATTAAAATGCTCAAATTTGAAAGATTGTGAGTTATTTGCTTCATGTATTAGCTGTTTAGTCAATAAAAATTTCGTTTTTTTGAGTTGAGGAGAATCAAATAATGCCTAACATTAATTGTACCAATGTTGTTGTGTACTTGGCACAGATTAAATTAAGACGTTTTAGTTTAAGAAGTTTTGAGCAAATGATATATTAGGTAGCAATTATAGGAATGTATGGTTTAGGATATAAAAAAGTACATTTATTGATTTACAGTGAAAAAAAGTGCCTGAAATTGGTCTTGTACAACAGGATCACCTGTTGAGAAAGAAAAAAGTAAATAGTAAATATTAAACATTATTGTGCAACATGCAAGATCGACAGCGCACAGTGTGCTTTGAGGTAGCAGTCAAAAAGGGTGTAGTTTGTGTGTGTGAGCACCCGTGTGTACACCTGTGAGCATGAACGCACTTGTTTTTAAAAGGATCCTTCATGTAATGATCTGCTAGAGGGTGTGGGGGGGCCACAGCCCCGTCCTCCAGGGCATGAAGCAGGTATGGAGGAGATCAAAACTCCAGACATCCAGAGGCCCCCAGAACACAAGAGACCAAGGAAGACCAACAGAGGGGCAGCCGCGCCACTGTCCCAGAAAGAGCTGAGGAGAGTCCCAGATGAGGGCTCACTCAGCAGCCGCGGAGCAGAAGCCAGGGGGGGTTGCAGTGACGTGCCCGTGAGCTCCGCCGGCAGCCAGCTGCGCCAGAGTGACCGAGCCCCAGGCCGAGAGGCCGAGGGCACCCCACCTCCGAAGTGGCCCGAGCGAGCCCCAGGCTCCAGGCCCCGATAAGCAGGCCACCAAGGAGTGAGCCGGTGTGTACCTGGACGCCCATCCCCGGACACAAAGAACCACCAACGCACCGATGTCTGAGGGAGTCCGCCACTGGCAGGGGAAGTGGTGGTGGGGGGAGATAGGCCTCCAAACCTTGGAGGGCCTGAGATGTCCCCAGAGAGGTGGCGCCTGACACCCAACCTGACATATAGACACAGACATACAGGCACACACAGATACAAACATCCATCCCACCCTCATGCTCTCATATGCACTTACTCCACACTCAACCAACGTGGAGACAGACATAAAGAGACGCTGTACACACGATCACACTCCCCAAGCGTACTCTAAGCCCCGGGTCTAGGTACCCTTGCCCCTGGAGGGGGGAACTGCACCCAGACCCAGGTGGTGTTACCCTTTTCCCTGCGGTGGGGGGCAGACCGCCCCGACTCCGCAGCAGCAGGGAGGCCCCACACTCCAGACCGCAGTCGGACGGCCAACTCCTCCTCCTAGCCCCCCCGCTCCAGCAGGTCGCAGAGAATGGGGGTGAGAGAAGACTCCAAACCTCCCTCCACCCGCTCATTGTAGTGTTGATGCTGTGTTTTAAGGCATTTAAACCCAGGAGGGCATGGAGCTACCTGCCAGAGAGCAGCAGGTAAGCGCATGTCCCTCCTGCTAGCCCTCAATGTCTACGTGTATTTAAAATTGAGAGGTGGGCAACGACGCCAGGGGTGAGGTGTACACCCTGATGGTCTTTTGGATCCGTGTAGCGTGCCCACCCCCAAGATCCTATATGTATGTGTTATGAGAGTGTGAGTAATGTGAATGTCTAAGTTGTGAGATAAAATTGAGGCACAGGCAGCCAGAAGGGGACAGAGGGGGGGATGCCTCCCCTGCACCCTGGTGACACACCAAGCCCATCCGGACCGGGGCCCAGAACAGCAGCGCCGCCCGGCCCCACAGAGCCCCAAAGGCTCCCACCTTCTTCGTGGGCCAAAGGTAATTTTTTAAAAGTGATCTTGAGCAGTAGTTTTACAGGTTGTGTGTTTGTATCTTTAGTGTTTTATATTGGCTGCTTTTTCAGTCTATTTGAGTCCAAAGGATCGACCAATCTACACATAACAGTCAACTTAGCAAAGAACTCATTTGTACATGTAACTTCATATGTAGGCACTTTGTTACTAGCAGAAAGCTGCCTCAGAAAGTTGGCTGTGTTGAAGACTAAAGCTGCTCATACAAAATATTGACTTTCAAGGTCATTAGAATTGTGAAAAACTGTTTTTGTCTTGTATACCATATAATTTTAATATACACTATATACCTTACTATACCATGTGTATTAAAATGTGCACCCATTTCCCTAGCAAAAGCAAATAAACAGGTGGTTCAAGACTTTTGCACAACAGTTTCCAAAACTAAACATGTTTTTAAAAATTCCATGCTAGCTTAATTATAACTATCTTAAACCTAACATTAAAGGGTGCTGGCTGCCGCCACTCTTGTTCTACTTGTCACACAAACTTGTTTTTGAGAGTTTGTGCATTAGATGACAGTTTGTGTCCATCAGAAAAAAAAAATCAAAACATGTATTTGAGCTCTGGTGGGTAACTTAAGTCCAAACAGCAGACCACCACAGCCGTGCAGTGCTAGCCGAGCCAGTGAGGACCACCACAGCTTAAATGAATACACTTTTTTCCAACTGAATGTCTTCTGGCTGCACATCTCCTCTCTCACATGCAGCCCCATTCCCTGTTTTTCAGCCTCCATGTCTGTATCCTGTGTGATAAAAACATGAGTCACAAATGAATTAGCCTGATTTGTCCTGTAATATAGAATGCAGTTTTAATATCTTAGGCAATATAATTAATTTAAAAATTACATTGCAACAACACCATTCCCTTATGAACACACACACTGCACAATTGAGTTATATTGTGATGATGGAAAGAAACTGTCCATCAGATAAATTAAGCCTGCAAACAGTTGTCTGAAAACCCTCTTTTGTCTGATCGATCCCTAATGACATTTAAATTTACAATAATGGATTACACAGCAGTGGGGAGTAGATTTAATCGCAGTACATGTCTTTCTGAAAGTGCTGCAACAGGTTTAAGGACATAATTCATCTACTGTTATCAATTTCAGTGCCAACAGAGCAGAGCAGCTCACTGAACTCCACTCCTACAGATGTTGATTATATTGTTAATAATTTTAGGATTATTAACACAACTCTGGATACTCTTGGTCCTCTGAAAATGAAAGCCTCAAATCAGAAGTTCTTGCCTCTCCAGTGTAACTTTCAAACATGCACGTTAAAGCAGATCACTTGTAAGCTGTAGAGGAAATGGCATCTCACTAGAAGTTACCATTTAGCCTGGAAAAAGAATTCGCTGCTCTATAAAAAAAAAAAAAGCCATTGGTAAAGCTAGAACATTTTGCTTTTGATGATTGATTGAAGAAAATAAGAACTACTATGGGTATGCTGTTGAAAAATCAATGATGGGATGGCATGTTGCTGCAGGATGCTGTGGTAGCCATGCTGGTTCAGTGTGGCTTCAATTTTGAATAAATCTCCAACAGTGTCACCAGCAAAGCCCCCTGACACCCTCACACCTCCTCCATGCTTCACAGTAAGAACCATGAATGTAGAGACCATCATTCACCTTTTCTGCATCACACAAAGACAAAGACTTATCAGACTAAAGCACAGATGTCCACTGGTCTAATGTCCATTCCGTGTTTTTATTGGCCCAAACAAATCTCTTCTGCTTGTTGCTTTTCCTCAGTCGTGGTTTCTCAGCAGCTATTTGACCATAAAGGCCTGATTCACACAGTCTCCTCTGAACATGTAGAGATGTGTCTGCTACTGGAGCTCTGTCTAAAATATGACATATTAAGAATTATTTATAATTTTTTTCTTTGCTACATAATTCCATATATCTTGCTTCATATATTTGATGTCTTCGGTATCTACAATGTAGAAAGTAGTCAAAATAAAGAAAACCCTTTAAATCAGAAAGTGTGTCCAAACGTTGGACTGGTTGTGATACCAGAGCGATAGAAGCCAGGTCAATAAACTACATGTTCTCCAATGAACCATCCCAGGTGTACTCTCAGTGGCAGGGGACGATATGAGAACAGCCCCACCAAGGCTGGAGATGCAGAAATACTGGAAGAGCATAATGGGCTGAAGGACACAACACATAACAACAATGTTCAAAACTCTCAAGCATGAAGAGTAGAAAAGTACTATATAAGAACCAGAACAATTTGCCATTTAGTAACAGAAGGCAGACATTGAAGGTAGCTACATGTACCTTGGAATCCCACGAGCAAACAGGAGCCATGAACCATGAGGAATAGTGGTAGAAGTGGACAGGCAGAGGAAGATGGCTGTAGCTCAAGAATAACCAAGGGCTGAGACAGGAGCTTGAGAAGATGCGGAGGGTGAAGGCAACAGTAGTCCCTGTGGTAATCAGATTACTTGGGGCAGTGACCGCCAAACTGGGTGAGTGGTTCAAGCAGATTCAGGGAACGACATCCGAGATCTCTGTCCAGAAGAATGCAGTCCTATGAACAGCAAAATTATTGCACAAGACCCTCAAACTCCCAGGCCTCTAATACAGGACCCATGATCGAAGGATAAAGAGCGCCTTCAGGGGTGAGTTTGGATTATTCTTTTTTTTTTTTTTTGTAATATTTGCAGTGCCACGTAAAATCAAAACTTTCTACAGGCCTATTTTCTGAAAGAAATGCAAAACTGAAGTAAGAAAATGTGACCCACAAAAATATTTACAAAATGGTTACATTGTGACTTGAGACACTGACACCATAACAGGTTGCATGCAATTTAATGTAAAAGCTGGATTTAACAACTACCATAACATACAGTCAACATACACCTACCTATTTCCTAGATACGAACTTTTAACCTTAACATGAAATTCCACTGGATAAAAATATAAAATGTATGCCTCTTCTATATCATTCACAGTGGCCTGTCAAACTTGCATGTTCTGATATGTCCCAAAAGATGCCATTATGGCCAACACAATACGGGGCTTTTATTTATTTCTTTCCTAGGATCAAAAATCATAATAAAAACACACGGAATTTTTATAAGGTTACATAAAACCAAATGCTAAATTCAGGTCACCATTTAACTAACTGATGAGAAGCTAGACAAGATTCAGTTACATTTTTAACACAAGTAAAATTTCATTACAACATTTGACAAAAAAAAATGCATATCTGTAATGCATTAAGAGAAAATATTAAGCTGGAAAGTGAACAACTGCATTAAAAACACAGTTTGCTGATTACACAGTACACATTTGCTTCTCTTGAGTACTGGCCTGTTCATGTCGTAGGAGATTTTAGGGTAGGCATACAGAAAAACAAAGGAAAATGTAAAATAGCAGAATTACAGATTGATGTTCCAGGTAACAGTACGCACTGAAATGATATTCAGTCTCCGATCTACTTCATCCTCGATATACTGCTATTACACATTTTCTAACTGAGCTTGCATTGGCCTGACATCAATGTCAATTTGTCATTTATCCTGATGAATTGCATCCAAAAAGATGATTCTGCATATCAACATTTGATGGTGAACACTAACATTAACATTACATGTCACTGCAAGAAATAGGGCCTACTTTGCAAAGTAGTAAAGTATAGTTTGGCGTGATGAAAGGGCATGTATATGTCAGACATTGATACATTCTTAGTCCTGTCTTACACTTGGATTTATTAAACATAACAAGTGGTTATAATTTTAGGGGCGGGGGGCCACATGTGGTTTTCACAGGCACCCATCCATTATTAGTTTCATGTTACACTGTGAAAGCCTCCTACTAGAAGCATATAATTGTGCAACTTAAATTGTGGAGGATCAACATGCTTTACATCTTGCTATTATATTATTTTGGCTTCTACAGTGCTATTTTTTTACGCTTTATTTTCTGTTTGAAAGTTACCATACCTGTGACAACTGCTTTTTAAGGGATGGGATGAAATGAGATGTGATGTTATTTCAACACCTCCTGTAGCACTATTAGAGGAGACAAGTTTAACTACATGCTCATGTTGTATCCATAGAAGAGATTGCTCTTTATACCAATTCTAAAGCTAAAGCTAGATGAGAGATTTGTAACCAATCACAGACAATCACTGACTCTCTGTCACCCACATCACTTTGGTCTGGCATCTTGCTTCCTGCACCTACTGACGTGACTGCACATACTGGTGTGAATTTCCCTGCTGTTTTACAGATTTGTGTTTAGTGTCATTATAAAATTTATTCAACATCAGTCTTGCTTCATAATTAACACAGCAAGTAGGTACAGGGTGACAAAGGAACTGACACACTTTCAAATCCATACATATTAAGAACACCACAAAAGTCCATTTCTCACTGGAAATAATTGAACACATTAGAATTATTCTCTTACATTGTTTCCATAAACTGGCAGTGACTTTACAATTGAATTTGAATTCACAGCTGTTGGCAGACAGAATGTGTTAAAGAATGCCAGGCACAGTAAAGGTGACAGGGAAAGAGAAGCTTGATCCTTGCAAAAGTGTTCACAGAACATTCTCTCGTTGGGTATGCCAAACAATTTGTAATCTACCTGGGAAAAAAAACACAAAACAAGTCTAAAAATAAGTACATCTCCCACTGGGAGTAACTTGTGAGAATTAAGTGTTTCCTGCATTCAAAATAACTTCACCTTAAAACAGGATTGAACAGTATCTTTAGGTTAAAAGTTTTAAATGAGCTGAGCTAACATACCACAAACAAGAAATTGGTTAAATTCAATGCACTTGTTTGATTCCATCCTTGAAGAAAATGAACAATAATACCAACTTGTTTGCATCACCCCTTTGTTTTTGCCAACACAGTTCCATTTCTCTGTACATGCTATGGAAAGGGATGCCAAGTAGATAACATATGAACTTAGTTCTCAAATATTTAATGGGGTTGGCTGGAAGTTCTTCAGTTCCTTTCAGGCACCTTAAACAACAATCACATCTCACTCTACTCCCTACCACCTGGAGAATGTTTCTAAGATACAGAGTCTTTGTTACCCACTGCTGAGCTCCCTCCACTTGTGACCAAATTACGGAGCAGTTTGCGTCGACCAGCTTGGTAGTCCTCCTCATCAACATTGACTAACAGTTTTATAGCCTCGTGGCCTACAGCCTGTTTTAGGGAATCTGTGATAAAGACCCCTTTGAGGGCCTCTAACAATGATCCATTGATGTAGTCCCTCCAAAAGGCATCCAAGTAGGTGAGCTCAGAAAATTTGATGTCACAGATGATGGAGCCCAAGTCTCGCGATTTTAGGATAGTGTTGGCCTGGTTGAAGCGCTCAAATTGCCGCTCCACTGCCTCTTGCTTGTTGGAGAAGACGTTGCCCTGAAGTGCAGATTCATGCTGGCAGTACTCAGCACGAACTCGTAGACGAATATCTGAAAGGATTGAACAAAAACACAAAAAACAAGAGACTGTCAAAGTATTCTGGGCAACTTCTTTGTCATTAATTGTCTTGTAAATGTTGTACAAGATAATGATTATTTCAATCATTACAGTGTTAAAACAATCAAACAACAGAAGATATGCTTCAAACTCACACATCGCTTCTATACTATACTCTTCCTGATATTCCAAATAAAGCAACACTCCTAAAAGCAGCAGTCATATCAACTACAAATTACCACATGCTTTTTTCTGTTCAGTGCAATTTGTAGTAAATTGAGAGCTACAGAGCTCATAAACCACATGTGTAGTTTATTTAGGGGCGATCGTGGCTCAAGAGTTGGGAGTTCGCCTTGTAATCGGAAGGTTGCCGGTTCGAGCCCGGCTCGGACAGTCTTGGTCGTTGTGTCCTTGGGCAAGACACTTCACCCGTTGCCTACTGGTGGTGGTCAGAGGGCCCGGTGGCGCCAGTGTCCGGCAGCCTCGCCTCTGTCAGTGCGCCCCAGGGTGGCTGTGGCTACAATGTAGCTTGCCATCACCAGTGTGTGAATGGGTGGATGACTGGATATGTAAAGCGCTTTGGGGTCCTTAGGGACTAGTAAAGCGCTATATAAATACAGGCCATTTACCATTTAAATATATCCCACCCAAAATGTTAAGTTCTGAAAGGCAATAATAAGCAACAAGGCTAGATTAAAAAACAAAAGGTAGTTCGAGACCATGACTTTCATTGCAAAACTAATTGCACTGCTTTAGTTAATACAAAAGACTGCTTTGTTTCTACTCTTTTATCTCTTTGAACTGCGTGTGGACATTAAAGGTGAATCTTTGGATTGATTTAAAGTCAAACTAACAGAAGTTTCACTGTTAAAATTTGCCTTTGCCCTCTTGCGGTGTACCTCAAGGGTCCTCTATTTTGTGTACCTCTATTTTGGGCCCATTAGGTTTGCTTTGAGGAAACATAATCTGTCTTTTCATCGTTTTGCTGATGAGATCCAGATTTATAATCATATGATATTCACTGCGGTTCTTGTTAAACTGCCTTAAAAACCTAATGAATTGGTTAAAGCAATACTTTTCGTCATTTTCATTAATGAAAGCAAAACAGAAATTGTTATATTTGGTGTGCTAACCAGCTGATAGACTGTGCTGCCTCTTTTGGCTACTTGGGCTCACACATCCATGAATCTGATAAAAACTTGAGTGGGACTATTGACAGCTCTTTCAACTTTGGAGAAATATATATATATATATATATATATAATATATAATATTAAAATAATTATATTATATATATATATATATATATATATATTTGTAAAAAAACCAAAACAAAACAAAATGATGCAGGGCTGTGATTGGATATGTTTGGTGTATGTGTGCACATACACACACATAAGATAGTAGAATAGAAACACTGATATTTCACTTTGTGGGACTAATAAAGGTATAACAAATCAAATCAGATAACGCAGTATATGCAGTTTCTTCTTACCGCATGTTTGCTTCTCTCTGCAGTCAGCCGAAGAGTGAATTCTCTTCCGTTTGCGGTTTGGTACAGGAGGAGTTGGCTTTGTTTGTGCAGGACCCACGTGTGGTGCTGATGGGGAACAACAAATGACTGGCTGGGGACCTAGAAAACAACATTATTTTTATTATGTTTTTTAGTCATCTGAATCGTACTACAAAATGTGAATAGGAAGACATAAGCGTGCACTCAGATGTCAGAACCCACCTGTTCTTCTGTACGGTACAGTGTCTTTGTTCTGTACTCTTCCTCTTGGTAATATATATCGCACTGATGTCTCTTCCAGGTATTTATCAACAGGGTCTGGGCACACTGAAAAGAAATGATTTCTGATATTATTTTATTTCAAAAGCTAATGTGTGTGTGAATGTGTGTGTGAATGTGTGTGTGAATGTGTGTGTGAATGGGTGTGTGAATGGGTGTGTGAATGGGTGTGTGAATGTGTGTGTGAATGTGTGTGTGAATGCGTGGATGACTAGTTGTGTAAAGCGCTTTGGGGTCCTAGTAGTAGTAAAGCGCTATACAAATACAGGCCCATTTACCATTTAATCCTCTTCAAACTACAGGAATCAGTCACACATAATGCAAAGATGACATGCAGCAATCAACATTTATGTAAAGAACGGATTAAATTAGCTTTATATGTATCATTTTAATGTTTGCATTAAGACAATACACAAATAAGGTGACGGTTCTAGAATGATGTCTTTACTCCAAGCAACATGGTTATAAACAAAGGCTTTGAATGAAAATGGAACAGAATTAAATTAAAAAAAAATCATGTTAAAAAAATGTAAAAAGTAAAAAGGCTTGAAATTCATGTTAGTGAGCCGGTGACACTGGATGATATTTCTGACTGCTGGATTGTTTTGTTTTCTTTTTTAAAGCTAGAGCTTAAATTACAGCATTGGGTATTACTGTTTAACATTACTGCATTTACTGTATATTGTCTCCTTAACTTCTTCTCCCCATGGTGTCTATTGTGCTGGCAGAGGAAAGCAAAGAGAAAGATGATATTTGCAACAGAAAAAAAGAAAAAAAAAATCAGAAACTAGCATTATTAGTTAGTTCACATCCCATTTTATCTTAGGATGATATGGTACACCTCATAGTACCATATCACCCCAACAGGACGCGTTCTCAGACTGCTGGTTTACTTGTGTCACCGGGGTATTTAAAAGTAGAATGGGAGGCGGTGCCTTCAGCTTTCAGGGCCCTCTTCTGTGGTTTGGATTTGTGAAACAGACACCCTCTTCTACTTTTAAGGTTAGACTTAAAAATTTCCTTTTGACAAACTACATAGAGCTAGGGCTGTGCAATATTACCAAAAGTAATTTCTTATCCCGATAATGATGTATTATAACAAAATTCTGTGCATTTTCTGTAAATTCAGCGAACAGCTTATTTAATCACCACATCAAAAATACCATTTATTTTTTACACTTATATTAAACAATCAAAATGAAGTAAGACTGGGCCTTAAGTAGCATTATCCCACAGTAAAATCCACTAGATGACGCACACAGTCACAGAAGCGCTTCCCTGAGGCCTCTGGCTGTCATTACTGCTCCTGTGTGGTCGTCAGGCAAACATCCTGTCTCCAAACATCGACTGCAGTGTCAGTCTTGGATTAAGTGCACTGTTAAGCTAACACGGGGTGAGTTGCAGATGGCTGCCCCTACCGGAGCCTGGTTCTGCTAGCGGTTACTTCCTGTTTAGGGGGAGTTTTTCCTTATCACCATCACAAAGTGCTTGCTCATGGGAGGTCATCTAATTGTTGTGGTTTCTCTGTTTAATTGTATGGTTTTTACCTTACAATACAAACACTGTGAGGCAACTATTGTTGTGACTTGGTGCTATATAACTTACTGAAGTGAACTGGTCTGCAACAATGCTTAAGTTATATGTCAAAGTAACATCCAGAAGACCTAAAGTTTCCCAGCAGAACATTACCCAAACATCACACTGCCTCTGCCAGCTTGCCTTCTTACCATAGTGCATCCTGGTGCCAGGTGGTCCCCAGTTTAGTGATGGAGATGCACATGTGATGTAAACAAAATTGCAATTCATCAGACTAGGCACAGCTTTCCATTCCTCCATGGTCCAATGTTGACGCTTACTTGGCCACTGTTGGTACTTTTAGCAGTGGACGAGACCAGCATGGGCCCCATATGCAACAAGCTGTGATGTACTGTGTATTCTGACACGTTTCTATCAAAACCAGCGTCCACTTTTTTTTTTTTTGTTTAGCTACAGTACCTTGTCTGTTGGATCTGACCACATGGGCAAGCCTTCATTTTCCACATGCATCAGTGAGCCTTGGCTGCCCATGACCCGGTCAATAGTTTACAACTGTTTCTTCCTTGGATCACTTTTGATAGATACTACCTACTGCAGACTGGGGCACTGAGATGCCCCATCCAGTTGTCTACCTATGACAATTTGGCCCTCGTCAACCTAACTAAAATCCATTTTTCCAGTTTTTCCTGCTTCACACCACTCTAATGTAAATTCCTGCATGAATGTGCAACTTATTTTTGTAGTCATTTATAGGACAACATGGAGTTGGTTAGATTAACTCACCGGCCTGCCGTTTCCTGAGTGTGACATAAGGCAAAAGGTCATGGCGGGTGATAATCCTTAGAAGCTGCAGCACATGTCTGAAGTTTGTCTCATCACAGCGACCCTGGCGCTCTAACGCCAGCAGAAAATCTCTTCCACTCCTGATGCCACCTCGCTCATACTCGTCAATCACATCAACAAACAGGAATGACAGTACCCTTACATCCCGATGTGTTAGCTGGGCTCCAACTATGTCAAACATACGGTGGAGTGAGTACAGCCCATGGGAGTTATCCACTGCTTCCTCGGGCCATGGTTCAAAGCCCCCATCTCTTCTGGTCAAGCTAGAGTTGGTGGAGGAAACAGAAACATTCCTGTTGACCAACTCCCCAGTAGTGGCTAAAGCACCAGGGCAGCCTGGCCTGCCTGTCAGAGGCCTATGTTCAAGAAGCCCAGCATTTGCACTGCTCTGACTCGACTCCAGCTGATTCGGGTGAATGTGAGGTCGGATCTGCTGAGCATTGGAGTTCTGAGCAAGCTGGGGAGGTATAAGAGCATTAGGGAGTTGAGGTTGTTGTGATGTCATCTCAGGGGCCAATGGTGACGAGGGATGCGAGAATCCCTGCAACTCCTCCTTCCAATCAATTGATGAACTACAAATAAGGAAAGGAACAAAGACATAAATTTTCAAGCACTTCTGATAAAGCTTAAACATGAATAACCAAACGTTAACATGATACAAACAAACAAATAGGATCACTCACATCTTACTTTTGAGAAGGCATTTCATAATTACAGTCACGGGTGGAAATTAAAATTTATCAGCTACTCAAGCATTTAATCTGCCACTATCTTGCTTTTTTGTGTGTAAAAAAAAGGAAAAAAAAGAAGCCTGGTGCTTCGTGGACCACGCCGTTGCTTTTTTATAACCATTCCCTTGTTTCTGGCTTTCAAAAAATGGCGGTTTTAATTTTCACGAACGAGACCGAGTCACGCTACTGACCAGCAGCCGTCTCATACCGCTACCTGGGCTGCAGCAGATATCTTGCGCTTAAACTGTATAATATATAATCTACATTTATTTCCTCTCCTAATATTTTACACTACAGTTCATTCTTCATTTACAAAATATGTGCTTTGCTAACCCTTGTGATTGCATATTCTGTAAACATCAACTCTTTGTGGGTGCGGACAAGATAAGAAAGTTTAACTTTTATACTTTTACAAAAAGTTGAATTATTTAGATGCCAGATGTTGGGTTGTTTGTTCTTCCCTTTCTTTATTAGAGGTTTCATACATTTTTAATGTCACAGACGCCTTCATTTACATCTGATGTTCACTTTTCCTCACTTATACAATCAAGTAATCCACTAGGTGAGATAATGTGAGATGAGAATTTCTAAACCAAAGCAAGGAAAAGGGTTTCTGACAGAGTATATCATACCCTAAAAATACCTAAAATAAAAATACTTTAATGACAATTACATTCCATACTGCATTCTGGGAACATTCAGACTGAATGCAAGTAAAATATCAATATAAATGCCCGTTACATCACCGTCCCAATGCCTGCGAAAACAACAAGCATTATAAATCACTAGTCAAATACGAAAATGTCTGCTTATGTTGTGGCGACTGTAATTCAAAGTCTTGTTAACATTTATATAAATTCACGAGCCCAACTCACTTGAATAGTTTCTAAAATAAAATAAACAAGAACCACTTCCATCTGAGCAGCAAACCACAAAACAGGTTAACAGCTAGCCACGTACCAAACGGAAGTTAGCTAGAAAGCTAACTACATTTAAATAGATTTAAAGAAACTGCAGTTTGTTTGTTTTTCGTATGATTGCCACATCCCTGTTATTGTTCTCTAGCTTAATAACCACTAATATGTAAAGATTACGCAATACAATGCTACACCGATCTTTATGAATTACGTTATTTGTTGTGACTCCTCATCGATTTAGTCATGATTTCATGTAAGCTGTAACGTCACCTACCTACAGTAATAAGATCAGTAAAAAAAATTACAACGAAACAAAAGATATACATAATTATCAAAGATACATTTATGTTACCTTTAATGTGTCCTGATGAGTCCGAAGCTATCAAACTTCAGTAGGCAGCTAACGGTAAGTTAGCTTCTCGGGATGTAATAGCAACGCTTCTTTGAAGGTAGAAACCAAGTTTAGCTACGTTTAATGTTTTGGTCAACTGCACGATATTTGTTAAAGACATAGGTTCCCACCCTATTAACATGCGGCACTGCTGCTTTCAGGGTGAGTTTCAGATACGAGTTCGTTTAATGGTTTTGGTCTTCAGCCTGACACCGTGGGAAAATAAGGAAACAATTTTCAGTCTTCAGCTAAAATGAAAGAACTTCCAGTTCAATGATCAGTTCAGTTCCGGTGTTCGGGGTACTCAAATTAGCCACTCGCTTTGTGAAAACCCCTTGGTAGTACACAGACGCGCTTGTGTCTGTAGTTCAATATAATATTATCAAGGAGTTTTTGTGCAACCTCATGACTGGATAGCTTATTAAAATGTAACATGGACGGTCTGTGTCAGTGGTTAACCTTATTCCTGTACGGATTCTCCTGTGATATTTGGTGATACTAATTCATATCACCAAATCTGCTTCTGTCAAGATACGTGTATGTATATTTACAGGTTTTAGCAAAGAGTATTGTCAAAAGCTGGAGACTATATATATATATGTGTATATATATATTAGATAATATATATATATAATAGTATAGAAGATAGTAAAAAAATTATTTATTTATATTATGTCTCTTTGTATATATGTGTGTGTGTGTGTGTGTGTGTGTGTGTGTATATATATAAGAATGAAGAAAATGCAATTAACCCAAGACAGCAGTCAAACTCATGTTTATTTTCTTCTGCAAATTAGCAAATCTAAATATAGTTTTAGTTGAACATGTGAAAATATTTTTTTGAGATGTTATGTTCTAAGTTGAAGGCATTGTATACGTTTTTGTTGTTCAAATTTAGATGATGAGGATGTAAACCTGAGGGGGTAGGGCTAAATAAGTATATACTTCTGCCTACTCCTTTTCAAACAACTGTATGGAATGATTTTATGAAACGTTGGTGAATGTATATGTTTGAAATAAAAAAGAACTGAACTGAACATAAATATATTTATTAGTTTGTGTTGTCAAACAAAACCTAACATTCAACCGCTGAAATAACAGCAGGCAGTATTTTGTTCTTGATTAGAGAACACAATCTATTCTCTAATAAAGTTGGGATTCTAAGTGACATTTACTGCTTGTCGTGTGAGGGTTACTAAGTAAGATCAGATTTTTTTTACCTGACATGTCAGGTAACGTTGCCCACATGTGACCAAAAGTAATTTTTTCATGTTTCTTCGATACTGGAATATTTGTGTCGCTAGTTTAGTAAATTAGGATAAAACTAGAGATGGGAAGCTCCAAGAAGACATTTCGACATCCCGAAGTGCAGATGTGTCGAAACACTGCTCCAAAACGTGGTCCACAACACCCAGATCACGTGACCACGACAAACCCAGGTTTTGGTACCCCAGTTTCGACTGGTGGCGTACCATACCCAGTCTTTTGGGCTGAGGCTTGTAATTATTGACTTCATGTTTTTGACCCTGCGACAGACTGGCGACCTGTCCAGGGTGTACCCTGCCTCTCGCCCTATGACAGCTGGGATAGGCTCCAGCGCCCCCCGCGACCCCGAAAAGGATAAGCGGAAGCGAATGGATGGATGGATGGTTTTTGATACTACCGTTTCAATTATATGCGCGTGTAAAAGAAAATAATACCGTCTCTGTCATTATTATTTTTGCTGTGGATTGTGAAGACTAGACTATCCAATCTCTTAAACACTGGAATCTAAAGGATAATGAAATAAACATTATATAGATCTATAAATAATATATAAATAGCTTATTTTAATGATTACTGGAGAGAAAGCGAGAGACAGAGGCTGGTGGGTGAGCTCCATTCACTCCTATCAGCAGAGAGAGAGAGAGAGCGGCACACTGGGCTGTAAAATCATTAAAAGATCTCAATAACAACAATACGCCTGCTTTAAGGAGAACATTAAGTTTTGTCAGCTTTCAACAGAAAATGTCATTTGCAGCATTAAGTGACTTCATCCTCACTACAATCCGTTACTTACATATGCGCCGCCATATGTTTATACTATAAAAAGAGACGGCAATAAAACTCATTCATTAATTACAGGCGATCTATTTCTTAACAATTTTCATGACAGATGTGTGTTTTTTTTCTTTTTCTTATGCAGGTTCACTATGACCAAAACTCCAGACTCCCAGTAAAACATCACGCCAGAAAGTTCAGGAAAGTTTCTGCAGTTCAGAGGCTGCTCAGCAGAGGATGAAGATGTGCGTGAAATGGACTGTTACGATTGGTCAGAATTATCCCATGAAAATGTTAACTTTTTTTTATAAAGAAGGAAAACACATGTAGTCTTTTCATTTAAATGTATATTTTTAAGTTAATTAAAATCAAAGCTAACGCTATGCCAGCTTCTCACTTTGCTTGACAGTGTGTAAAACCAACCTGATGACATGAACTTCCAGAAAACCTAAAAGTCAAACAAAAACATTCAAAGTTTCAGGGCTGTGAGCACAAACGAAGCCGTCTGAGCCCAAAAACAGCTGTAAATCAGTGTGGTCGTTACAGTGAACACCGCAGACTTTTCTCTGTTTGTTTTACTATATAAATTGATTTATTGTGAGCAGCAGGAATATTAACAGATGGAGAAATTTGCTGAAGCACATCGATCACTATAGTCACAGATCTGTCTTTAACAGTCTCATTATTTTTTTTCCCCTTGTTTGTATGAAAACGTCTGCTGATCACAATTACTGACAGTCTTATATAATAAGTAGCTTTGCTTGAAATTGTGCAGGGCATGTCTGCGGGGATGGGGTTGGGTTTCGAAGCCTCAATAAAGTTTCGACACAACTGCTTTGTTTCAGAGTGTCGCAAAGCCTCGCTTTGCCATTCACTAGATAAAACCCAGTAATCAATTTTAGAAATTTACTCTTGAGCCGTGCGCCATTATTTAGAAAATATTCCACCACCGCCGCGCTGTGAATCTTGGGATGGTTTGGGGCACGAAGGAAAAAGGAGGCAGCATTTCTGGGCTACACATCGAGGCTTTTGAATGCGCCCTTCGAAGGCTGCAGCCCCTGAATTGGAACACGGCTATGTATGATATATATATTTTAAATAAAGTTGAAGAAAAAAAACGTTATCATAGTCATGAGACTGTCTTTATGGTGCATTCTGGGAACTGTATTTTCGCGAGTTTTCATTTCTCATTCATTCTCGCTGACAGTAAGTCTAGAATAAAACTCCACCTCCCAGAAACACCGCGTTCACACATTATTCGATTGGCTTGCTACTTCGTTTCCACACTGTAGGAGACACAGAAGTGTCAGATTTATTTAGTTTGATAGAGAAATCCCCGGTCAGGTTCAGTTTGCAGGGAATGAAGAAAACTAATTACAAAAGAAGCTGTTTTGTAGCGAATGGTCTCCAACGCAGCGGATAATTACAATGCGTTTTGCCGATATAAGGAGTGGCAGTCGTGCTAAGTAACTGGTTTCTATTTTCAAGCTAGCAGAAGATGGAATGTACCTTAACTCTGTTTTATGCATGGAAATGATGCTAATACTTTAGCTTTAACCAGTACCAGCGAAGTCGATGCTCATATTTCGCCTCACTGTCACCGGATGCTTTGCTGTTATCCAGTTGGTTAGCTAGTTTAGCTTCTTTCAGAGAAGCTCCGGCCATGGAGGAAGTTGATAAAATTCTGATTCACGCCCTAAAACAGGTTGGGACGTAAGTATCAACAACAGGGTTTCATAAATGCCAAGCAGTGCACTGTGATCTTAAAAGTAAGCATAAGTTACCGAGCTGACATGTTTACAGGCTAATGGGAAGTTTTCCGCTCAGTCCTGTGTTGAACCATCCCCAGTCATATGATCATGCTGTATGTGGGTTATTTGAAGCTTGTGTGGATACGATCAGCTTTGTAGCAGCTAAGAGTTAATTTTTTTTTGTCTTCGTGTCCCGCAGGGAAGTGCCTGAAGAAATTAATAGCGTGAAACAGTTCAGTAGTGAGCTGATAGTAGAGGCGGTGGTCAGATGTATTCGGGTGATCGATCCTGGTCTGAGCAGCACGCTGGCCACCTCCCTCCCTCCGGGTATGTCTGCCCGCTTCAGAGTGGGCATGAGCCTGGCACAGGCCTGTCAGGTAAGATATCTGAATGGAACTGTTGTCCCCTGTTATCACTGGCTGAATCCAGTCAGACAATTGGCAGTGTTCAGACACAAACACTGTAAGCAGTTGTCTACTTAAAGAGTTTGTGCACAACTAGTTCTTCGCAACAGGAATCATTAACTGGTAGAGAAAGTACAATTAGGAACCCCACCTACACGTTGTTTCTCTTTTCACCATGGAAAGAAGAATGTGAAAGAAGCTGACAACCTAGTTTTTTCCAAAACAGTTCAATGTAAGTAAAACGCAGTGATAGACCCTGGTGGTTTTAATGCCATAGCTTATCTGCTGTTTGTATGAGAATTAAAAAGTGTGATAGCTCTGGGTCCCAATGATTTCCTGTGTCTCTTTGTTTTACAAGAGAGAAAGAGTCATCTTCTAGTAGTGATGTTTTTTTGTTTTTTTTTGTTCTGTAGAGATGCTTTGAGTAAGGGATTGATCAAAGTTATTCAAGACGACTTCTAACATCGTTAGTGTGCATCTTTCCACCACTTCCCCCAGTGTGTCCAGTCTGGCTCCAATTACAGAGCTAGTTTATTTTTAGGATGGGAGATGTTATCAGAATGAGAACGTGATCAGCTCTAAGCTGTGAGCGCAGTGTCATAACGTTGGCTCTGTCCTAAAACTCTTCGCTCATTTCTCATGCTGAGAGTTTAGAGGTGAGCCCCACTTACTGCAATTTAATGCCACAGTTTTCATGAAACACCGCAGAAATGAACTGAAATGAGCTTTTTCTTGGCACTGTGCACACACTGAGCGGCTTCTCTCTGCTGAATCTGTAACAACAAAATGTGGCACAAAAAGTGATCTGACGGTAAATACAGTTTTGGGTTCTTCTTTATATTGTACAATCCAGCTGTTCCACATAGATGTCAGGTTTGTAGGGAAAATCTCCTCCTTTAGATAAATCTTTCACCACACCTGAATCCTAATCCTCTGAACCCTGTGCTCAGTGCGGAATGATTTCTATCAGAAGCATATTGATTTTCCTTTATCTGAGCTGGCGCACTGTTTTCAGAGAAAAACATTTGTGTGAAGTCTGAGCTTACACTGAATTATTTTGGTTAGCAGGCCTGCAGCGGC